GAGAAAATCAACATTTAGTAAAATTTACAAACTTTTTTTTAAATTCACAAACTCTTCTGACGAAACTATTATGAACATACTTCCAGAAAGCGGCTAGATCCGGCATTTTGAGGGTTAAAAATTCAAATCCGCCCGGAAAAAATAGTACGTTCATTTAGAGAAAGTACGTTATTGTGTCTGATCTCGTAACTTAAAATATCGCTTGCACTAATTAATAAGCATATTTAAAAATGCTCTCTCGAACCAATAAGATTGAGTCCCAGTACGTAAAATTCCGATCATTAGATCAATAATTATTCAAATTGTTTTTTTTTTTATTCGCATTGTACACATACTAAAATATTGAAGCATCATATTGAAATCAATTAAAAAAACGGCTTAATAACTCTCTCTCCCCTCTTCTCTCTCGAATCACACAGGCTCAAAATATAATATATTAGCAATAAATATATTATATTTTGCAATAATCAAAAGCCATAATAAATTAGCTACCTCTTTATTTATAGAAACTTTTTAGCACAATGAAGACTGTCCTTTTCTTTTATTAGGCCGATGAAAAGTATTTTTATTTTATCTAATATTCACAGAGCATATCACAATTGATACGATTATGCCTAGACATGTGCAGTATAAAAGCTAATAAGTACATTAACATGCACAAATCTATAAAATTGCCAGATTTGACAGCAAAATCCCATGGTTGCCCCCCTATTGCTTCACAGTATAGTAATATAAAATGGCAAAGGAGCACAAAAAAGCATATTGGCTATTAATTTGTTTTTTTTCCTTCTTCTAATCCGTTAATCTTATAATGGCGTACCATCAGAGTATATATTTAGTAGCAGAATAAATTTCCTAGGGAAGAGTTGAGGACAAGTTGAGGACTAATGGATAAGCTTAAAGCTGGTCATGACAGAAAAAGGCAGAAAGTCTCATAATTTTTTTTAAAATCATTTATTTCAAAAAGCTTGCTTTCTGGGAAGATAACGGAAATAAATAAAACAAAACAAAAAAGTTAATAGTTACTAACCATCATGTAATTCACTATTATGGATTCAATTAACAAAGTACTGTTTACATTTGTTTGATTTACTCCAATTAACCATAGTCATATTTTCACATATTTAATGACAAAGTCTACGACTAGACGAAGTTCATCTTACTCACATTTTATCTAAAATGATTTTTTAGCAAAACTTTCCTGCCACCATAAAAAAAAAAAAACAGTGTAAATAGTGATCTGGAATCATTGTTTTAAATCTAAAATACAGGAAGGTCTTGTCATCTCTTAAAATATCAACTATTTGCCATCGCTTATTATCTAATCTTACGATCCTTCATCATAAAAACTCTTGTTTGTGAAAATTAACCAAGACAAATATAAACTTCAATTGTTCCTACCTTATCTAAAAGGAAAGTTATAAATGACTTAGGTGCAAAAAGCTTTTAAAAGCGGCTCTTTTTATTTCATCTTTTGGCTGTTCAAATAACAGCTCTTTTTTGAAACTGTTTCTGCAGCTGTGCAATCATTCGGCTTTTGAATTATTAAGTTTAAACACGAAATGTTGTGGATTACACTGGGGAGCAAATTTTATATTGTATTTATACAAATACTTGATCTTGTCTAATTTGGGTGAGACGATTTCCAATCAGCAGCCAGTTTTGCTCCTAAAGCTACAGATTCTTTAAAAATTGTATTTTTAGTCTATTTTTTTGTCGAAATCTACAAGTTTAAAAACATTTTATATAAAACAGGAGGTCGCTTAAATTATGCGACAAACTTCTTCAAGGGGAGTTAAGGCACCAGGATGAAAATTTCATAGGAACCCATGCCCGGAAATGAGGTCGTACGCAGCAAGGGGTACTTCCCTATTATAACCTGTTCAAAAGCACACCAAGAAACAGTTCATATAGGGAAGCTCCCCCTAGCGACGTATGATGACATTTCCGGACACATGTTCCTATGCAATTTTAATCTGATGATGTGCCCTAACTCCCCTAGAGGTCACAACATTTACGCCACCTCTTGTTTTGTACAACATTTTTAAGCTTGTTCATTTTGACAAGCAAAGACTAAAAATGTAATTAAAAACTATAGTTTGAAGAGAGAAATCGATAGCAGATATGAAATCAGCAATACGAAAGTATCTAAGATCTGTTAAAAAATTTCACGCAACAAAAAAAAAATCGCTCCCCAGTGTTATTAATGTTAACTAAAACTTTATTAATTGAATCATTAACTTTAAAGTTCGCAGTTAAGAACATATATAACTCTCTATTTAAGCAGAAAAAATTGCTCTATGATGTAAAAAATATTATCTGATTTAAAAACTCTTCAGTTTATAAAAATTTTATGAAACTCTCATTTTTTGCTAAAATTGAACCCTGAAAATAATATTTTTTTCATTATTGCATAAAAAAAAAATTTGCTTAGTATTCGAATCAGCATTATAGAAAACGTTCTAATAATTTATTGGGAGGAAATTTGATTCAATTCAAATAACTTCTCTGAGAAATGAGCTTGCATCAAATTTGTTTTATGTTATCTCGACATCAGTTTTCGTCTTTTTAAGAAACATACATAAAAATTAAGTTAAAATTAAGAATTAGATAAATAAATTCTAGTAAAATAAGAGTAAATCATTAAAATGCACTTGTTATTTAGATTTTAATATAAATGGTTATTTGCATGAAATAATCGATAAAATTACGATTTTCGTAGATGAAAAACTCATCATGATTATTTACATTTATTAATCACTCTTTCTGTCACGGGTGCGATTTTACTTAATCAAAATCAAAATTTATACTTAGCTATAGTTAGCATCAGTTTAACTTGGCATTGTGTCAGCCGTCTATAGACTTGCTTTATCAATTATCATTATCAATTATTATAATGTACATCATAATGAACTCCTTTTGTGTCGAAATTCATGATGAATGCAAACAATTTTCAATTTATTAATGAAGGATTTCATATTTTATTTTTACATTATTTCCATATTTTATTTTATTTTCCATCTAGATTTTTTTATATTTAATTTACAAAAAATATTTTTTTTAAATTTATAGCAGAAATATTTATCTACTTTTATTTTTAATCAGCATACGAAACGCATCTTCCATACATTATTTGGTAGTAATAAAATATTTTTGTCTAGATATATGAAGGGAGTGTTACATTATTTATTATCCTTATCACTTAAGTCGGTGAAAAACTGTCTCTTTAATTTATTCCTTGCTTGTTTATTTATTTGCTTTAATAATTATTCATTTTTCTGTAGATTTAATTTTAGAGGTGTTAAAATGAAGCAGGAGTCAACCCTTTTTTCCACTGGTGGCCCTTTCATATATTTTTTTTCTGTCGCTCTAATTACCAGAAAAAATATATTTTGGTACTTTTTTATTTATAGAAAACAGTTTAATAGTTACTAAAAGAAATCTGTTGGACTATCGGATATTTGAACCACATTTAAAACCAAAAAGAAGTAATTTGAAAAAAAATTCCTTAATATTCAAAAATTAATCTATAATTGATTTTGTAAATTAAACAATTTTTTAATGATAATTCTTTTTCTTCGATTTAAATAACTGCAATAAAGTGCAAATTTGAAAAATTATTGTTTGGAATTGAGCCGTGTTTGAAAGATTTTACCTTTCACCCAGAAACAGATACAGTTGTTTCATGTTGTATTTCATAACCATACATTATTAAAATGCTATATTTAATGTTTTTCACTTATTTTGACCTAAATCAATATGCAAAATAATGAAAAATATATTTGTTAAAAATTCTGCTTCAAAGGGTTTAAAACACTTTTCTTCCGCATTTCCCCAATCAAATCCCCCCACCCCTCTATTCCCGTATTTTCCCTATGTATATATGCAGCATTTCATCATATTTAAAAAGCAACATTTTTCCTGTTAATTCCAAAATAGGTGTTTTTTTTCTCTCGCATTGATCGTAACAGCTGGATAAAGAATACTAACTCGAAGACGCATTTTACTGTGTCAACAAGAGATTCCATCATCTCATGGCTGTTTTTAGAGTAGCAATCCCGGGGTGTCTCTTAAAAAAGAGAGTCTATTCCAGCAGCATCGCTCCAATAAGCAACCACCACCAAATTGCTATCCACATTCTTACAGTTAGTACACAACTCCTCATAAGCGCCTCATTAAAAAGGTTTCACGTCTTAATAAGCGGGGTATGTAATGAGCCATTCAGGAAGTTTATTGACCTATCAGTCACAGGTTAAGCAAAGTTTTAAATGAAAAAAAAATCACCCTTTTTTTTTCTTTATTGCACATTAAGAACGTTCAAGGATGCAAGCAAAGAGTTTGTAAACAGGTTTTGACACAGAATCCTTTATTTACTAGTATGGCCATTTTTTTTTTCAAAGCACAAGGAAGCGTGTATACAAACTTCTGTTGTCTGTAGTAAAGGGTTATTTACGCTTAATAAATAATTAATATTTTACAAAAGAAGTTTTTTTAATGAATGAAGATAAACTCGATGCATAACTGTATCAGGAACGTGTAAACCTCCAATGGGATTATTAACTACTTTTTTTTTGTTAACGATTTCAATAACAGATGCAAAGAATTTAGTGGTTATTAATATCTTTCTTTAACTGCGACTCAAAAACAGTGACCAAGACTGCATCAGCACTAGTTTCTAACATAAATTAAAAATAAAAACAAAGGCTTAGGAAAATATTCATGAAAACAAAAAATATGACAATAATCTAGAGTTGAGGTGCAAAATTGATTAAGACCCATCATTACTAAAAATACAACAGCAGTCGAAGTATTGATTGAAATGTAACAAAATCAGTCCCATAAAGAAGCACCTACATAAATATATAAATACAATATGAGTAAATATATGGGTAAACGTCTTATCTTAAGATCCATTTATTTTCATTTGATCCTTTTTATGATTGTTATTTTATGTCTCTTTCAAAAAAAATATCATTTGAATTATAATAAAAAGAACTTACCCAATTTTAAGCAATTTATTCTTATTAAAAAGCTTCGAAATTCAAGAACCGCATATGGCCCTACAAATATAAATAATTATTTATTAAAAATAACACAAAATTTATTCAAGCATACAAATGAAAAAATAATAAATAAAAGCAACAAAACAATTAGACACACGATCAATGCTGGATCAATAAAGATGAACCGAATCCGCACTGTAAAAATTACGGATCAAAATACGAAAAAAAATTACCGGCAATCAGGATGCCTGTACTTTTTACTTGAACATGTTACAGAACAAAAAAAAAAATGGATTTACCGTTACTTTTCAGGAATATTTATCGTAAAATTGCAAATGCAAGAAAAAATCTACAGAAAAAAATTTAAAACTCTTTATTACATGTTAAGTTTCATGCGCTTATTTAAAATTCCATAAAAAAAATTCAAACATTTTATAAAATAAGTCATACGCTTCATGCAGCAATTCAACTATATCTAACATAATTTTTGCATTACTTAATCGTTTTATAGATGTTTAAAGGTATCGTAAATATTATCATTGAATCAATGTTATGTTGTTGTTTTTTTCCACTTTTTAACAAATTTTCTACAAGAATGTGAATGAGTGAAAGAATTTACTTTTAATGGTATTGAAATAAAAATGGTGGGAAAAATAAATGAATTTGTTCTGTCAACCGAAAAGTTTCCTGTGTTTAAGTAGTTTCACCTGTTAACGGTTTACATTCGCAGAAAGGATATAAACTTTCCAATTCTTTGAGCAATGATCATCGACATTTGAGATACAGAGAATTTTCAATTTTATCTATCATTAAATCGAAAAAACTTTTTTGTTTCATTTTAAATGTACTCAGCGTACATTTAAATAATGATATCATCATCCTAAAATTCAGGTATGCATTATACATAAGAAGTTTAGGTATGCATTATACATAACTTCATTTTCTTTAAAAAAAAAATTTAAGAAAACTACGAATGTGATAAAAGTCTAGAATAGCTCCTGAGAAATTGAATTTTAAATATCTGACTTTTTTGAAATTTTCTCAGAAACTATTCGACCGATTTTGCACAAATTTCGTATTTTGCCATGTAAAAATAATTTTTTTAAAAGGATGCAAAAAATTTTATACCTTCATATTCAAAATTTTATTGACCAATATTAAATAAAATAATAAAAAATAATAAATATTTAATAAAGGCTATTTTCATCTTTGGATAAATGAATTTTATAATTGCGTGCGAAAATTTCTCTTTTTGCTAAAAAAGTTCTGGAGATATTGTAAAATACGCAAAAAATAAAATTAACATTAAGGGATCTATGCTTTAGATTGCTCATCTGATCAAACTACGGGGACCATATTTTCCAGATTGCTGCAGCCTCCCGCATTTTGGGAGTCAGAAATCTGAATCCGTCGAAAAAAAGGTATGATTATTCAGGGAAAGTGAGTTTTTGTCCCTGATTTCGTAATTTAAAATATAGTCTGCATTTAATAATTAGCATATTTGGGGTCACCCCTTCAAACCATTAAGATTGAGTCCTAGAACGTGAAGATCTGATCATTAGATGAAAAGTTATTCAGGGTGGTTCTCTTTTTTTTCTTCCTTTTTTCACGCACTGTACTACGATGTTATTTTATCTTATATTTTATATTCGTCGTTGAATAGTCAATCCAATTTAGAGTTTACGACTACTAATGTTCAACTCCGTAGCCTTGTCATTTTGAACCAAGCCAGAAGACAAGGAAACTTCTGGATCAGTACCCCCAAAGGTATTGATTTGTTATGAGAACATGGAGGACTTAAAGACTCGACAGATTTAACGTGCATCAGTCACTACACGGGGAGTCTTCGGCCGACTAGGATCGAACCCACGAACAGTCGGACATGGGCCAAGTGCCCAACCAACCAGGCTATCCCAGCAGAACCCGGGGTCCTTGCTTCGAATCCTGTCAGCAGCCTATATTTTTCTTATGCATTTAACAACCACAACACGTATTTTGCTCAAAAATGAGTTTTTGCTGTCTCAATGTTGAATACGAGGTTTTTTTTAATTTGACTGTTATGTTACGCAGCTATTTCGACGCATTTTTATTCTATCTTAAGAAAAAAAACATATTTATAGTGAACGAACACAAACAACTCGCACCAGTTGCTTAAATTACTTGCCCAAAAGCTTTATTTCATCTGACTGGATAGGTTTTAAGTAACTGCCGCTATAAACACTAACCACTAAACCGCAACCGTAGCCAGTATATCACACTATTCAGAACGATCGCTCGTTTTTTTCGAAATAATCTAGCTATTAGAATGCATTGCACTAATTATATTAAACGTGATTAATATTCCGTCAGTGTAATGCGTGAGGAATTTCATCCTGGGAAAGAGTTTCAAGGTTTCTGGTGTTAAACAAAATAAAAATAATTCACGCATGATTAACTTCTGAATGCAGACGCACCGCTTGTATCATCCCACGTTTTTCTGTAACGCTGTTAATGAATCATAATAATTTTAAAAATAAAAGTAGTGGCAGAAGTAGCGATTTTCTAATTTGCATTTCGTTATTACTTTCATATCACTCACGAAGTTGTTTACCTTGACCAAGTTACCTTTCAGCAAATAGATTACAGCTCAAGATATATGCTGCCATACCGTAATATAATATTTATTTTAAAGTGTCTTTCTTTACGTTTGACAAACTTTTTTCGTACTTGAATTTTCCTGTTTATTATGCATCTTTAATTAAACCATAACTGACTAATATTTACTCTGGAATGATCGAGTATTCAACGTACTTACAAATATGAATTTTAATCTACTTAGTTCTTTATTTATCGGTGTTGCAAAAGTTAAAAAATTGTTCTGCAATAAAAGCTCATAGTTTTTAACATTTTTAATAATCATTTGTTATTCATTAGCTAAAATAATTTAAGTCACAAACGAGTATTAATTAAGTTACAAACATAGAGCCAAAGCAGATTTTGTGCTCTCCTAACCAGGAAAAATTAGATCTTTCAGTTTTTCTAAAAACAATGTGTTTGATACAACGATCCTGATAAATTTACCATGAGCCGTGGTGGTTTAGGGGATAGAGCTCTAGCCTCCCAACGAGGTGCCCCGTGTTTGAATTCCATCGATGGCTATTCGATCCGCAGATTAATTCCGCAACCGGCTCGCAATGTCCATATTGCAGGCATAAATATCCCCAGAGTTAGATGGGTCATGGGTTAGAGACCCCTTGTTGTCAGGCTAACCTTCGGAGGTTTTTGTGGTTTCCCTCTCTGTGTAACACAAATGTGGGTTAGTTACATCAAAAAGACCGCCACGAAGGCAAATTTCTCCCAATACTTGATCCAGGAGTTCCCTTGTCTTCTGGATTGGGTTTAAAATGATAAGGCAACGGAGTTGAACATAGGTAGTCGTAAACCCAGAATTGGGTCGACTGTTCAACGACGGTTGTAAAATGAAATATATTTTCCACCGATTATGAAATTAAATATAAACGAAGGACAAGAACTGAAAAAAAGTTAATCGTCATTAATAAAAAAGTAGTATTCCGGGTGGATAAATCGCGAACGGGGAACAAGAACAAAAAAAAAAAAAAAAAAAAAAGAAAAAANGATTCTGTCTCAAAAAAAAAAAAAAAAAAAAAAGACGGTCAGGTATTAATTAAAAAATTTTTTGGTCCTATGTACCTGAAACAACGTTACCAAAAAAGTATATATAATTAGTGAAAAACGAAAATTGTGGTTGCGATAAACCACATGATCAAAACAAAGTGATGAGTAGACAAAAACACAAATGGCGTTGGCGTTTTTTAAATTCGTCAAGGTGGCCGCAATGCAAAACTCAACGTTAGAAATATTTTATAAACCATCATTTTAAAAAGATAAAATGAACACCGTGGTAAAAATCGCTCCTGAAATGTTATAACATTATTTGGGTTGTTAGGGAAGTATTGGTAATCGTTAATCAAAAACCGAGGACTAAACTATGGAATACCATTCCAAAGCTATTTATAACTAAAGAAGACAAAAGTATCAAATTAGCAATTATAAAACGTTGCCATCTGTTAGATTTTTTCATTACAAAAATAAACCTTTTTGACGAAATACGGGCAATAATTAGGGACAAGACATAGTCAAAGAATATGAAATTATAAGCAATTAATGCTATAATCGTATAGTGACTAATAAATTTGTAACAATTAAATCGAAAATTTTTAATTTAATAAAAAAAGTTATATATTGTATACTAACGTATAGAATTACTTAATTAAACACACATTAGAGCCATAGAAATCAGTCAACAAAAAACTGTTTTACTTATTTATTTTTCTTGTAACAAACATAGGAGCCTACGTCTCTTGCAAGTCACGGTGTTGGCGAGCTTGGAGCAAATATTTCATGTTAACTGCATTTTAAAATTTATTTTCAGAAATATGCTGAATTTTGAAAGAGTACAAATTGTACAAATTACAATTATAATACAAATTACAATTATAATTGTAATTTGTAATTTGAATAATACAAATTACAATTATAATTGTGAAATATTACAAATTTATAAATATGTAACAAAAAACGTAATTACAGATACAATTAAGTTTTTTTTAAAGTAACATAATTTAAAACATTACAAAACCGTTCTAATTTAAAAATTTAATCAACTTGTTATAACTTTCGAATTAAACTGGTTTTTGACAGTACTAAATTTTAATTCTTACTATTCCACTACTTATTAAGAGCGGCATTGGATGATTTCTTAAACTACCTTATTCCTGTTGTAAAATATTTCTAGTTATTTTTCAATTTTAAAGCAATTTTTTTTAATCAAAATAACTAAAGCAGTGTGAGCCGCGTTGGCTCAGGAGATAGAGAGCCCGGCCTCCCAACGCAGCGACCTAGGTTAGAATCTCAGCGATAACTGGTCGATTCGAATTCTGCTCGCTCGCACGGACCTCAGTGCTGATGTAAAATATCCTCAGTGGTAGACCGGATAAGAGATAGAATCCCTATGCTCTCGGGCTAACTAAGGGAGGTTTTCATGGTTTTCCTCTTCA